GTTCCAGTGCCTCACCACCCTCTGGCTGAAAAACTTCCTCCTCATATCCAACCTAAACCTCCCCTGTCTCCCTTTGAAGCCATTCCCCCAGCTCATATTGTAACATAGGAGCTCTTTCATTAAGATCTTTCACATTGTTCCACTAAGGATGTGTTTGAGTTCTGCTGCCTTGCAGTGAATTTCATTATCTCACTAAATACTGTTCACGTTTCTTGAAGATTTGCCTGTAAAATAGGTAGGAATTTATAGAAGTCTGTGGTCTCTCTGAAAGCTTCCCCTCTCTGTGCTTTCCTTTTCTCTGAGAACAGCTGCTAAAATGTTGACTGCTTTTGATTGATTCATAGAATCATAGAGTCACTAAGGTTGGAAAAGACCTCCAAGATCATCCACCCAACTGCCTTACTTGGCAGTAAGAACACAGGCAGCATTTTTCCCTCCCATCACCCAAAAGCACTGCTTATTCATCTGACACTTTGCCTTAGATTCATATTCTGAGCAGAATCCCAGACTTGTCTAATGATTGTCTTTACTACCTCTATTCTGTTGATCAATTATTGAGATAGAAATTCAGGAAAATGATGTCTTCCTTTAGCTTTAGTGTGTTGACTCTGTGTCAGACTTTCCCATTGACCCTAAAATCCTGAATCCACCACCTTTTCTTTTTTCCCTCTCACATTTTCAATCTGATGCCTCCTTTTTCTTCTGAACTTCCAGGTCTGACACTCAGGGTTCCAATTCCAGGAAACGTCCTGGAGGTGGAAAGAGGAGCAGCTGCACTCTATTGCTCGACTTGAAACTAAGTGGTGGAGAATTGGAATGCAGTGCAATCTGTTTTATTTTTCCTATTTCAGGAAACACTCCCTGGCTTCAAATGGATTGGAAGCAGAGTAAAAGATCTCCTAGATAACGGAAAAGAAGTTCTTTTTGCCTTTGAAGAGTCTATTGGTAAGTCTTGGATATCACTTTCAACTGTTGGAAACTGTGCAGGGGGAATATCCAGTATGTAAAAAGTGTTGTCTTGGTTGCTGAACTGCTGTTGTTTCACATCCTGTTAGCTGAGGTTAAGCTGGATCTGTTCTTAAGCAATGTAATGCCTTATGGGTCCTCTCTGTGAGAACTCGGTGGTCCAAGGGCTTGCTGCATTACACCAATATAGCAGCTCCTTCAGGAGCCCAACACTGCCCTCGGGTAAAATAAAACCTAAGAGACTACTTTATATCAGCAGCCAAAGAGAAATCTAGCTGCCTAATGTGAATAGAACCATAGAATCATAGAATCATCGAATCCTTAGAGTTGGAAGAGACCTTTAAAGGTCATCTAGTCCTGCTGACGTAGCCTGGAGTGCTCTGTTGGCCTTGGGAGTCTTGCTAACACCACCCATTGGTATAGAACTGTGCAGTGAATGTTTCAGCTGTAGGAATTCTCTGCTTCTGCAAGATGAAGAGCAGCTTTTTAGGATGCCATATTCACACCCAGTATAGCATTTGAAAATGAACCCTTACTAAAGAGCATTTATGCCCATATCAGTTCCCTCCCATATTCATAGAATTCAAGAAGGTTCTAACAGTGAGGAACGAAGATCTTGCTGATGAATCCCTTCAGAAGGAAGGCAGCTTGGCAGTACTGTGGAGCACTGTATTGTCTGTTACCAAGCCTGTATCAGTATCAGTTCTTTTGATTCATATTGCTGTGCTTGCACAGAACAAGCAGCTGATACGTTAAATGCCATGAAAGATCCCCTCAGAGAAGAGATGTTATCAGACTGGAATGAATTGATGATAGCACGTATCTTTCTATCACTGTGACCCCTAAGTTAGCTAGGTTTCATGGAAGGGAGCACTGTGCAATGTTAAGGACAGCATGGATATATCAACCAGTTTTCATTTCCCCTGGAAGAGAAGTAAAACTTCACCCATGTAAATCAGTGTAGTGGTGTGCCAGTTTTGTATTCCACAATGGTTTTGTTATCTCTAGGCTTCATGTGTGGCACCTCAGTGTTGGATAAAGATGGTGTGAGTGCAGCTGTGGTCATAGCTGAAATGGCAGCCTACCTGGAAACCAAGAACCTGTCGCTAGCACAGAAACTCATAGAGGTGTATGAAACGTAAGTTGCCTTTTTCATTCATATTTTGGACAAAGCTGTACCAGGGAAGGTGCAGGCTGGACTGCAGGAAAAGAATTCTTTACAGGGAGGGTGGTTGAACATTGGAACAGGGCTTCCTAGAGTGGTGGTTGATGCCTTGTGCCTGTCAGTGTGCATGAGGCATTTGGTCAGCACACTTATCAATGTACTCTAACTTATCTGCCTACCCCTAAAGTGGCTGATGACCATTGTAGGTTGCTTCCAACTGAAGTATTCTGCCCTGTCCTTAACCATTGGCTTTTATTTCTCTGGAACTGAAACCCTTCCTCGAATTTAAAAGGAGCTGTGAGATGTTTTGAGTAATGCAATCAAATCTACTTCAGACTCCAAAGATTTGCTTAGAAATATGTGTTCCACAGCTATGAGAACTGTATTATTTTCCCATTGTTCCTTTTTTTTTTTTTTTTTTTCCCAAACAGACTTCCTTTAGATACCAAATGTGCAGAAAACTTCTGAATGTTTTAACTGAAAAGAGTCATCTCCTTGTAGGTATGGATATCACATATCAAAAACTTCCTATTTCTTGTGCTATGATCCTCCAACCATCAAGAGGATATTTGAGAGGCTTCGGAACTTTGATGGCCCTCAGTCTTATCCCAAGTTCTGTGGTGATTACAACATATTGCACGTACGAGACATTACCACTGGCTATGACAGCAGCCAGCCCAATAAGAAGTCGGTGAGTTATGAAGCATTTTGCAGGAGGGCTTCTCTTTTTCAAGAGATTGGAAGTTGAATACACCAACAGCTATGCAGGAAGAATATACTGTGGCATCTTAGATGGCAGTGTAATTAATGCTGTCTACTAGGATGGCTTAATTGAGGAGAAAATTACTTCCGTGTGGAATGACTTTGCTGTTGTTTTACCTTTTTCCTATAGAATCATAGAATGGCCTGGGTTGCAAAGGAGCACAATGCTCATGCAGTTCCAACCCCCTGCTATGTGCAGGGTTGCCAACCAGCAGCCCAGGCTGCCCAGAGCCACATCCAGCCTGGCCTTGGATGCCTGCAGGGATGGGGCATCCACAATGAACTTTATTAGCTGAGCTGACTTTGGTGCTCCTGCAACTCTTCTGCCATCTAGCGGGTTTCCAGATGTTGGAATTTCCATGGGAGTAAAAAACAGTCCAGTTATCCTAAAATACTGATCCACAGGGTAGTTCTGTGTGTTAGGCTGCAATGACTTGTTCTAGCTTATTGCCCTGGCTGGTGGATATACAGGACATGCTTATTTAGCTCTGTAAATATTGGTTGTTCTATTTAAACATAAACCAAAGCAATGCATTTGTGCTAGTTGGGGCATCCTGTAATCATCTTTTCTTGTTGGTGTAGGTGCTGCCTGTGAGTAAAAGCAGCCAGATGATCACCTTTACGTTTCAAAATGGTTGTGTTGCCACCCTTCGGACGAGTGGGACAGAGCCAAAGATCAAATACTATGCAGAGATGTGCGCCCTGCCCGAGCAGAGGTCAGTAGCAGCTCTGTATGCAGACATCACAGCATCCCTGGGCTGAAAGGGCAGTGCTGAGGCATCATTCCTTCATGGAAATGGATTCCTTTGCTGCCTCCTCAAAGACCTGAGCCACCCCTCACTGCTCCAGCCTGTTAAACTGCCTGGATCCTTGCAGTTCCTGCTCACATGAGATCCCCTCTGCAGTGGATAAGGCAAAGAACTGAATTTTAAGCATCTGCTGCTCTAGGAGGGTTCATTTATTAACCTAATTGCTCATTTTTTCTAAACTAAAATGTAATGAAGTTGTGGTGCCGCTGGCAAGCATGCTTAAATCCAGGTGGATTCCTACTGTATTTAGGAATCTGCTGTGGTGCTCCAAGGTATTTGATAGTAATTAGATGTCTGTCTCCTCTTTATAGCCACCTGGGATCAGCTTCTTCCAGTTAAGAAACATTAAATTTATCTATATATGTAAAAAAACCACAGGGGTATGTTTAGAGTGTTGAAGTCAGAAGTGCAGATGAGGAGCTTAGGTTCTCAGTCTAAGATGAAGCAGAAATCTGAAAATAGCACAAAAGGGGCCTTTGAATCAGCACTGGCAGGAATTGAGGATGAAGTTATTTCTCACTGCGTGTTTTGGTCAGATTCAGGCAGGCAGTGGATTGACTCCATTCAAATGAGTGTGTGAGTGGAGACAAGAGTCCATGCCTACACAGCTTCTCACAGGATGCTGAGTTTTCTTTTAAACACTGATTATTGCTCCATGGATTTCTCACACAGGCACAGCCCATCTTTTGAATTGCCTTTTAAGACTGTCCTGAGTTGAGCAGGGAATAACAGCAGGTCAGAGAAGGGTTGGAGTTCTCCACTCCAATTTTCTGAATGGCAGCAATTACCAGAAGCTCCTGTTGATTGGGTAAAAGCTTGCTGGTTGTCTGCTCTATGAACACATATGTATATGTGGGCATGGAAATTCTCCATTCAGCTTCCATGAACCTGAAAGTAGGCAAGATACCATCTGATGAAAAGTGGGATCTGATTGAGACAATCAGCAAGGAAGAAGTAAAGAAATATTGCCCTTAACTTAAGCTTAACACACGTGAGGGCTGGAGTAGTTGAGAGAGTAGCACTTGAGATGCTCTGATGCATCATTGGAGCTTTTGCTGTTCATTCTGGTAAGTCAGAAAAACACAGTGACCTTTTAATTGCAATAATACCACTGGTTAACAGCAATTATGATCTAGAACAGAAAACTGAAACTTTCAAGCTTCCCTGGTTCAAAGCACAAAAAAGCACAAAATGCTCTTCAGCTGCTTCACAAAACACAGTCCTTCCTGTAATAGCCTTGCAAGTATTTCTTTGAGTTTCAGCTTACTGATTATTCTTAGAGGCTGAGCATTGGGAAAGCCAGTTCTGTTGCAGCAGCTTGAGGTGTGTTTTATAAAAGGAAGGGTGACCTGAGGGGCAGTGCTGTATGACAGGCTCCATACATGAGCAAAGCAGAAGGAAATAACAAGCCTGCTTTGCCTCTTTGAAGACTGAGTTCCTCTTCCTCCAGTGAGATATCAGGATAGGAAAGGGGGAATGCATCTTTAAAGGAGTGTGGCAGTGCAACTCTCCTAAACTGCAGTTTAGTTAAAGAACCCTGAAAGGGCAGCTGGACTCCGTGTAGAGAAGAGTATAGAGGGTATCTGCCTCTTCTATTTGGAGCAGTTCTGACTTTTTCATAACCCTTTTGCCAGTCTTGCATCGTTTTTGCAGCCATTTGTTCTAGAACCACAGTTGACCTCTAGTGGCCATTTTTTCCCCCTGTTGAAATTAATTTTGCAGTAGTCCTTACCAAGAAGTAGCTTATTAAAGAAAGCAGATCATGGAATTATAGAATCATGGAATGGCCTGGGTTGCAAAGGAGCACAATGCTCATCCAGTTCCAACCCCCTGCTGTGTGCAGGGTCACCAACCAGCAGCCCAGGCTGCCCAGAGCCACATCCAGCCTGGCCTTGGATGCCTGCAGGGATGGGGCATCCACAGCCTCCTTGGGCAACCTGTTCCACTGCCTCACCACCCTCTGGCTGAAAAACTTCCTCCTCATATCCAACCTAAACCTCCCCTGTCTCACTTTAAAACCATTCCCCCTTGTCCTATCACCATCCACCCTCACAAACAGCCATTACCTGACCTGTTTATCCACTCCCTTCAAGTACTGAAGGCCACAATGAGGTCTCCCCGCAGCCTTCTCTTCTCCAAGCTCAACAAGCCCAGTTCCCTCAACCTTTCCTCATAGGAGAGCTGCTCCAGCCCTCTGATCATCTTAGTGGCCTCCTCTGGGCCCGCGAATAGGAAATAGAACAAAGCAAATCACACAGAATCACAGAATGGTTTGGGCTGGAAGGGACCTCAGGGATCATGAAGCTTCAACCCCCCCACCACAGGTAGGGCCACCAACCTCCACATTTCATAGCAGCCCAGGCTGCCCAGGGCCCCATCCAACCTGGCCTTGAACACCTCCAGGGATGGACGGGGCATCCACAGCCTCTCTGGGCAGCTGTTCCAGCACCTCACCACTCTCACAGCAAACAACTTCTCCCTGACATCCAACTGAAATCTCCTCTCCCTCAACTTCAAACCATTTCCCCTTGTCCTGCTGTTATCTCCCCTACCCAAGAGTTGACTCCCCTCCTGTCTGTAGGCTCCCTTTAGGTACTGAAGGCTGCAATGATTCACCCCACAGCCTTCTCTTCTCCATGCTGAACAAGCCCAGCTCCCTCAGCCTGTCTTTGTAGTGGAGGTGCTGCAGCCCTCTGATCATCTTTGTGGCTCCTCTGGACCCTCTCCAACAGCTCCCTGTCTTTCTTGTACTGGGGGCTCCAGACCTGGATGCAGTACTGCAGATGGGGCCTCATGAGGGCAGAGTAGAGAGGGACAATCCCCTTCCAATAGAGAGGGAAGCCAGTATTTGTCACATGCTGAAGCATCCTCATATTGCTGAACTGCTGGAGACATACAGCTCAGATGGAATGCTTTCCAAAGCATTTTCATTCGGTAGCAAATCCATCCCCCTCAGCTCTTGGTTTTCATTTGGTTATTTTTCGAGTCTTGGTGTTCCTCAGACCTCTGACACCTCTCTCTTCTCTTGCAGTGACAGATCTGTGCTGGAAGAAGAGCGTCAGAAGCTGGTGGAAGCTCTGATTGAGAACTTTCTGGAGCCTGATAAGAACGGACTCATCTGGCGCTCAGCTTAGCTGTCCTGCAGCTGGTGTTGGAAGGAGCCACCGCGTCCAACCAAGGAACCAAGAACAGAACTCTGTTTACTGTGTGCCTGTGTGTGTGTGTGTGTGTTTAAACAAGCAGCTACGTTTTTATTCTGTAAAGAAGCAGCATTCTTTTGTCAGTTGAGATAAGCAGAGAAGGGTGGAATGTACTGCCTGGAATTTGCCCTGGAATTTCCCCTTCTTTTGACCAAAGGCTCGCTGACCTCAGCGCCAACAAACTGCCACAGCAGGGTTAAAACAGTTGGTCTGTGGCCACTGACTCTTGTCTTAAACTGCTTTCAGGTACCCAGGATACCTTGGTTGGAAGTGATCACCCCGAGCTGACAAAAAACCTCTGCTTCTTCGTAGCTGTTGTGTGTGTGTGTGTTGGTGGTGGTGTTCCAGCTCGTACTTCTCAAATCCATTCAAGTAGAGTTCAGTGCTTTGCATACCTGGTTGAGGCAAGTTGCTCCAATTGGACATTTTCCACTTATTTTGTATCCTTCTCTTGTTGGAGGTGCTGTCCGTGCGTTGTTTCTTTCCTATGTGTATCTCCACTTGCTGGGGTGTGAAACAATAGTGGCAACACAAGTTTTTGGGTGACTCAGTAGGAGGCCTTCCTGGGGCTTCCAAAAGGGCAGAGACCCATTCACCTTTGGTTAAACTGCCTATTCTGACTGCAGTGGGCTTTATAACCCCTTCTTATCCCACAGCTCTGAAGGGACTGAAGTTATTTTTTTTTTACTAAAGGTTTCAGAAATTTAATATCTTTGTATGAAAACACCAACTGGGGACTTGTTTGGTTGTGATGGCTTGAAGTCATGCTGTCTAGTGAAGGAAACAAAACAAAACAGGGGGAAAGAAAGGAAAGGTGAGATGCAGACACTCTCTATTATTAGTATCTTTTACTAACTCGTATTATTTGTCATATCTGATAAACTCACTTCTGTTAGCACAGCAGTTTGCCAATACTGTTGCTCTTTTAAGGTGGATTTTTAGCAACCTCTTGTTATCAGTTTCCTATCTCGGCTCAAGCAGAAGGCAGTTCTGCTCATCACTTCTTTTCTGACAGATGCTGATCCAGAAAAGTGTACATTTCCCCCAGTTCTGAAGTACAGCAACGCGTTCAGGAAGAATTGGGTATTGATGATTGAGGATCAAAATGAAGTCAGCCATCTTCTGGACTCATCCACTCACTTCACAGCAACTAAACAAGAGGAACAGATAAACCCAAGCACTCAGGTTCTGTACTGAAGGTTACGTGAGGGGAACCCAAGAGGCACTGAGGTTAAAGGTGTTGTTTTGCCACTGTTGTTGACCACCCCATTTGCCCTCCACCCATCGTGCCCTTTTTGTGGCTTCGTGTGCATTGCATCCAAAGGGCTCTGAGGAGCACTGGGTGCCTGCATCTGTGCATTGTGGGGTGTTGGTGCCCACAGCAGCTTTGCACTATGGTGAGGGTATGAATGTACGTGTGCTGCAGAAGGTCTGTGTCGCACAAATTTTTTGGTAACCACCCCTATTTATTTATTTGTTATTTTAAGGAAAAGCTTTTCCAAATGGTTCCGCAACCGAGTGAAGTGTATCTGATGCCAAAAAGTTGGATTGTTTCTTTTTTCCCCGTGGCTGATGTGATGAGAACGGGTGAGATGTTTATCCTGGGAGTTACTCATTGCTCTGTGCAGCTCTGGGGAGGTGTCATACGTGTGATGGGTCCTGCCCTGACCCAAAGGAGCTCTGCCTCTGATTTGGACTTGAGCACCTCCTGACAGTTCAGATGAGAGCAGCTCACTCGTGGTTGCATTTTCCATCAGCATCCTTAGCAGCTGGGTGCTGCTCGTGGTGTGAATGCCTGTAGTGAACATACAGCACCAGGAGTGCAGTGCCTGGGATTCTCCTCGTCTGTAGGTGTTGAGCAGTAAGCTGTAGATGTAGAAATGCTTCTGGAATGACAGGCAACAACATACTGAATGTATATTAAGGGTATCATTACTATTGCTGTTTGTAAACTGCTGCTACCATTGTTTTCCTGTACCATGTTGAACCGTTGGATGTATTTATACCGTTCCACTCGAGGAACTCTTTCTCTCCTCCCTGTCCCCTCATTGCTCCGACTGTGAAGGACTGTAACTCTCCTGTTGCATTGCCCTGTGACCGTGTCAGAGTTTGATGGACTTGTGCACAACCTCCTTTCAGCTCTTGGCTATTCTTTGCTGCCTTCCAGGCAAGAACAAAGGCTTTCCAGACTCGAGCAGGAAGCGCTGATCGAACAAATGCATTCTGATTACTGTTTACGAGGCTTCCAGTTACAGTGCACCTTTTGTAAAGCTGCAGCCATCAGCTTGACCTGATCCAGCTGCCCGTGGTTTGTGTTTGTAGCATTTAGGAAGGCTTATTTTTGTCTTTTTTTGCTGCGACAGACTCAATCTCTATCTCACTTGGATACATGGCAGAACTCTATTTCCAGGGTCTCGGAGGGGATCTGCGTAAAAACAGGAGACTTGCCAGGCAGAGTTTGGTGTCTGTGTGATACAGCTTGCAGCCAGCTGTTTTATTCTAGTTGTGATGCAGTGTCCAGTCTGTGATTTACAAAGCTTCAGGTGGTATTCATGTCTCCCTGCAACTCTAGAGGACGCTTCTTAACCGTGGCGTGAGTGAAGCAAAGGAAGGAGCGTGTCTGACATGGCAGGGTTGTTCTGGAAGCCCAAGTGCAGCTCTCACTGCAGCTGCACAGCCCTGCTGTGTTTGTGGGCCCGTCTGCTTCCCCTGCCCTTCCTGCAGCACGGACTCCAGCAGCAGAGAGCGGTGCAGTCCTGTCTGTGTAGGTCTCCTGATGCCCTCAGTGCCTCAAGAGGGAAACCCTTGCTTGCATCATTCACACAGGAAACAATTAAAATTCAGTATTTTTCAGTTTCAGACACTGAGGTGATGTGCAGCACTCGCTAAGCACTCCGAAATTCACACTCCCTGCTCCAGAAGTGCTCGGTAGCACCTCGTGCCCCTCTTTGGCTCCTGAGGGTTTCGGTTTGGTTTAGGAAAGGGACCGTTTGCATGGTGAGCCCTGGATTCAAGTCTGGATGGCAAGGTTCCTGCCTTTGCCTCCTCAGAGTGGCTTTGTATGCAGGGAGGGAAGCAGCCAGAGCTGCACCACTCTTATCTGGAGTCCCGGTGAGTTCTGCATCTGTGCTCTCTTTATCCAGTGTCTGTTCTGTACAATTATGGCATATGACCGAGTGAGAATTTGCACTTTTCTGAAGTATTTCTGTGTGTATTGCTACGTGGATTTAGCTGAATGAAGTGTTACAAATAATAAACTGTTCTCTTGGTAGTCGCAACCCTTTGCGTTTCATCAGTGTTTCTCAGCTGAGTTTTGTTGCCCCCGAACAGAGCTGGTTTTTGCCTCGGTGCAGGGGGGATATGGGCTGAGAGGTGTGGGTCTGGGGGGAAGGGATGCACTCCCGAATTGCTGAGCAGCACAGGGGGGGGTGGGAAGTCCCTGCAAGTGGATTTCCAGTTACAGGTGGGTTCCTGTTCCCTGCAGCCCCGCAAGAGCAGCGTTTCCTAAAGCTGATCCAGTGTTTTTTCCTAAAGCTTCATCCTTGTGCTGTGAACTCAGGAGGAAGAGAATTGATGTCAGATTGCGACCTGAGGAGGAGGAGGGAGCAGCAACCCGAGGGCTCTCCGGTGAGTGACACAAAAGGAGAAGTTTCTTATGGGTCATGCATTTAAACAGGCTTAGGTGGATGGTTGGGGCTGTGGAGCAGATGGGCAGAAGCCACAACACATCCAGGAGGGTTCCTGCATCCTCCAGGGATGGCTGTGCATTTCATCCTCAGGAGATCTGCACCAATCCATGCTTTCTTCTCCTGTCTGGACTGTCATCTTCCCATCTATTCAGTCTCTGCATTATGCCCTGTGCCACTCTGACAGTACGATATTTGTTTTGCAGGGAGAGATTCCAGCATCCCCTGCAGCTCTCTGGGTGCAGAGGTGGGTTCTACATGGGCAGGGGGTGAAGGGAGCAGCAGAAGGGGCCAGGATAGAGACAGCAGGAGGGAGCTGAGTCCATCTCCACCCACCTGCAATAGCAGGAGCGGGCGCTGGGTGTCCCCACCTGCCCATAGCCGAGTCCTTGGGGTGCAGGAACAGCAGGGCTGGCTGGGTTTGGGGGGCAGAGAGGGCAGGACCCTGAGAACAGGCTGTGCTGATCTTACCTCCTCCAAATCATTCTCCTCCAGCATTTTCATCTCCGGATCCCCAGTCTCCTCCAGGAGCAGCAGCATCCCTGAGTCTCAGCCCCATTCCTGAGAGCAGATGTGGGGTTTGGGGGGAATCAGAGCATCGTGTGGGGACACACTGAGGCTGGTGAGTCCCAGCAGTGCCTGGATTCACATTCACATCTTGGCAATGTAAATGTTAATTGAGTAACCTAATTAATGACCAAACATGTCTCTCTGTGGGCTGACACCCGTCTCCCTAAGCCTGCGTTCTGTGGTTTTGTTACTCTGTCACCATGGAAGGGGACACAGGTGCTGAGGTTCACATATCCACATCATCCAGGGCAAGGAGAACCTTGACACAGTCAATGAAACAACTCTCAAGCAGAGGGAAATCTGCTTTGTTGCATGGATCTGTTTGCAGAAGGTCCCCAAACCCTGGTCCCTGGGTCTTCGTCCTGCAAGGAATGGAGCTCCTGGGTTGTCCCCAGCTCCTCACTGAGGGATCAGCCAGGTGGGTGCAAGGGTTGCGTGGAAGATGGTTGCACAAAGCATATGGAAACTCACCTGAGAGGCTGCCAGTTTGGGCCATCCCAAGCCAAAGGTCTGCCCTTCTGTTCCAAAAACCTGTCCCATGAGGATGGAGCAGGCTGGTCCTGCCCATGCAGAGCAGCATCTGCAGGGGTTTAAGTTGCAGCTTCTCTACTCTCACCTTACTAAGATGATTTTGGTTCCTCTTCATAAAGGACAAGGAAACCTCCCCAAGAGATCCCACCTGTCCCCAATGTACCAACAACATTGAAACAGCCTGGAACACAGGTTATTTTGGAAGATTGTCCAGATGGAGGCTGATTCTGGAAGACCCATCCATCCCATCAGCTTGAGGAAAGCACTGGGGAGACACGAGCACACCGAGGAACCCACCTCCAAGGAACTCTCCTGTCACGTTGCTTTTATTTTGGCACTCATGTTTTTGGTGCTTTGATGCCACTTATGGGTGAAACAGAGGGATTTCCACCCGTGGCCCCACTGATGTCTGGGGGCTCTGTGGGCTCAGGCACCCAAGGGATGAGGTGAGTCCATGCTGGGACATGAGGACGTGGGGCTGGGGGTGCCCAGGGGTGCAGGGGGAGCCCCCAGGGTTCAGATCCCTCAGCCCTGAGTGCCAGAGGGACAAATCTGTCCCAGTGCTGACGGGGGCTCATCACTGAGCTGAGCGTGCCAGTGCTCAGCAATGCTTGGAGGTGGCAGCTCCTATCCCCAGCTTTATCCCAGCACAATTAATTAGAAGAGCTGGGTCCTGGGAACGTGGCTACTAAATGACCCTTGGGGAGGCAGCAAAACAGGAATACGAAAACCCATAGCATCCGATTTGTCACCATTTCCATTTTCCCTTCCTGAGCTGATCCTGACAGCAGTACAGCCTCTGTACAAATACACAGACAGGATCCAGTGTCATCCCAATTTCTTTTGGGATCCACTCCCAGCACAGGGGCTGCGTCCTGTCAGCTGCAGGTCTGGGCTCTGCCTCTATGAGTGCCCTAAGAATGAGTAGCAAAGCACAAACCCTGCAGTGCCATCATGGACATGGTGCAGATGAGCTGCTGGGTTTCTGTGCTTTTTCTGCCCAAACCTCTCACTGCTCTCAGCAACGTTATCCATGCCTCAGTTTCCCCACTGCAATAGGGCAACAGCTCCCATTTGCTCTTCCTGGAGGGAAAAGTCCAAAAGGTGAGGGTTTTGGTTTTTTTTTTTCTCCCTTTGGAGATTTCAACAAGCAGCCTTCCCTGCACAGCCCTGAGATCTGCACCGGTAGCACCAAAAGGACTGTTTTCTGCCCCATTGCATGGCATTGCAGATGCTGCCAGGAAGACCCATAGTGCTCCCTACAAACCAAACATCTCACAGCAGAGATGTGGCCACCCCATGCAGCCCTGAGCACTGAAAACACAAAGGGAGAAAAAAAAAATGTAAAAGAGAAAGGAGGAAAACCAAATCTGGGAAACTACGATGGGTCTCTCAAAGTTTGCATTCTCTCAGCACATGTCTGAGTTTGTGCAACCAGAAAGGTCATTCTGAGCCTGGGCAAAAATCAGGCATTGTCTCCTGCATTACACCCTTCATCTCCTCCTGCATCCCTTCCAGCATCTCCTCTTGCATTTCCTCCTGCATCCCCTCCTGCTACAACTCCAGCACCCCCTCTTGTACCCCCTCCAGCATCTCCTCCTGTGTCATCCTCTGTATCCCCTCCTGTTTCACCTCCTGCATCCCCTCCTGTTTCACCTCCTGCATCCCCTCCATCTCCTCCAGCACCCTCTCCTGCTTTACCTCCTGCATCCTTTCCAGCATCTCCCCTTGCATTTCCTCCTGCATCCCCTTCTGCTTCCCCTCCAGCATCTTCTCTTGCATAACCCTCTGCATCCCCTCCTTCCTCCCCCTGCCACCCCCACACTTCAAGGCTTTAATGCTCTCAATTTGCAAGATCCCAGCAGTGAAAGCAGTTGGAGCCAAAGCCCTCAAGTTCCTGGGGCAGGAGGAAAGCCCTGAAAGGAAAGATCCCCCCAGAACCAACAGATTTCTGCTGGAGCACCCAGGACCCTCACTTGGACTCAAGCACTGTTTTCCTGCGTGAATACAGCTGAGTGCAACCCCACCCCTCTGCACCAGCTCCACTGCCCCTATCAGAGGGCAAATACAAAGGGAAAAAATGCAAAGTAATGGGATGCATAGGATGGAAATAATTGCTCTAACTCCTGGCAAAGTTCTGCAGAATTAGCTGCCTGGTGCAGGAGCTGCATACACACAGAGGGGAGCAAAAAGCCCAGAACTCATCACAGCTGCTTCCTTCCTCATTTACCAACCTGACATGTTGAGTAACAGCTGCTCCCTGCCAAACCTCACCAGGGCTCTGTGCATCCCAAATCCAGGCACCTCCTTGTATTGTAAACCCAGGCACCTCCAAACATCCAAACCCAGGCACTGGCACCAGGGACACAGCTCAGTCCTCAGGCTCCAAGCATCCCAAACCCAGGTACCTCTGAGCATCCCAAACTCAGGCACTTCCAAGCATCCAAAACTCTGGCTTCGCTGAGCATCCCAAACCCAGGCACTTCCAAGCATCCCAAACCCAAGTACTTCCAAGCATCCCAAACCCAAGTACTTCCAAGCAACCCAAACCCAGGCACCTTGCATCCCAACCCAGGCACTTCCAAGCATCCCAAAACCAGGACCTTCCGAGCATCCCAAACCCAAGCACCTCTTTGCAATCCAAACCCAGTGCTTCTCAGCTTCCCAAACCCAAGCACCGTGGATGCAGCCCCATCCTCAGCCCTCCCTGGCTCAGCACACAGAAAGGAAAACCCCCATGGATTGAAATGCAGCCAGTTCAGCCCCGTACTGAACTTCAGCACTGTGCCACATCACACATTCATTTGGAATTGCCACGAGTGGCAGCCCTGCAGCGCTGCCCACAGCTGCTCTGCAGGCACAGGTGTCTCATGAGTGATGGAACAGAAATGCTCGAGCAACCCAAATTGCTTTGGAAACCCACTACTGGCATGAATTACCAAGCCCCTGCCTTGCTCACAGGGAGAAATTAGGGCTGAGCTCCATGCATGAGTCCTGTAGAGCTGCTCTGCCTCCCCGTTGCCCCCCAGCAAAAGGAGTTTCTGAGCCCAACAAAACTCTGCACCTCCGGGAGCGATTGGAAATCCAACCATAATGGCACTGCCTGAACCAGACGACGTTTGGAAACCACTCTATAGAAAGCAGACGCTACAAGGGATGCGGCTTTTGGTATATTTGCTCTAGGATATCGTAACAGGCACGGTTCTAAAAGCAAACACGGGCAGGTGCATGAGAGCCGGAGCTTTGGCTTTGTTCATTATGATGATATGCTGAGGCAGCCGGGGCTGGGAGAGGGGTTTGAGGCCAAAGGAGCTGCCCCAGTGCCCTGGGAACATGCAGGCACCTGTGGGGTGATCCCTGCGTAGCTGTGTCCTTTTGTGCCTGGGAGGAGGTTGGGGCTGGGAGAGCTCAGCAGTTCGTGAGGAGAGCGGAGCGAGAAATGAAATGGGGAAAAAAGAGAAATCGAGCAAAGTTCTTGCATTAGTCAAGTAGAAATCTAATAGGAAAGAGCTGTACATGGTCAAAGTCGAGTCCGGGCTCCGGGAATGTCCAGGGCAGGTTCAGATATGGCTGCTGCTCCCCGGGATGTGCGCAGTTCACACTCGTGTCTGCAGTGCAAGGGAGCTGGGATGGGGTGATGTTTGGGGACTGGCTCATCACCACGGTGTCCCCATGATCGCCCCTGATCCCAGCACTTGCATGGGGACAAGTGGACGGATCCAGAGATGGGATGGAGCCCCAAGGGATGATGCTGCTTGCTCGGACGCAGCCCAACGGAGCACTCACAGCATCCCTAGGACCAGTTCTTCCTCCAGAGCCACACCGTGGCAATGGGATGGAGACCAGGAGGGCGCTGGGGATGGAGTCAGCTGGAGGGAGGACATCGTGATGCCATCAGAACCCGGGCTGAGCAGGTCCGGAGCCCCCCAGGAGATGATGCTGCCCACTCGGATGCAGCCCGACGCTCGTTTTGGATCTCTGGAGCAGCACCGCGGCAACGGGATGGGGATCAGGAGGATGCTGGGGATGGAGGCAGCTGGAAGGAGCATCTCGGGGTGCCACCAGAGCCCAGTGATGTCAGAGCCCGGGGGTGCCGACGGCGCTGGCACGGCGTGGGTCTGCATCCTGCTCGTAGCGGTAGTGGTAGCCCTCCATCTGATCACGGCAAGCTTCCCGCAGGTTGTGCAACCAACGCTTGATGCCGCGGCGGTTCAGGTAGAGCACCATGAGGAAGACGATGCCGATGAGGGCCAGAACGATGCCGAAGAAGACGTAAGAAGCTGTCTCCAGCTGTCCGGCCTCACCTCCCTCATCGGCCGAGCAACCCAACCCTTCGGGCCGCAACCTCAGCACCGCCGTCCCGCGCAACGACGGCGGTTTGGAGCACTGCAGGCTCCTCGCATCGGGCACGCGGGCGGCGGACGAGCGCAGCCAGGTGAGCAGCGGGCGCAGGGCGCAGTCGCATTGCAGCGGGTTGGACCCCAGCCACACCCGCAGCCCCCGCAGCCCCTGAGCCTCCAGGCTGAGCAGCTCGGTGGATGTCAAACGCTGCAGAGAGTTGTTGCGGAGATCCAACTCCTCCAGGCCGGCGGGCAGCAGGGAGAACGGCAGCGCCCGCAGCCCGTTGCCCGCCAGCTCCAGGCGGTGCAGGCTGAGGTTGCGCAGGGCGAGGGCGAGCTGCTCCTCCAGCGGGGCGACCAGCAGCGCCTGGTTCAGCTGCAGCGTGCGCAGCAGAGGGACGCCGGAGAAGGCGCCGGCCGCCACCGAACGCAAAGGGTTGTGGCTGAGGTCGAGGGTCCGCAGGGCCGGCAGCCCCTGCAGGGCCATGTCCTCGATGGTTTGGATGTTGTCGTGGCGCAAGCGGAGCAGGCGGAGGTCGGGCAGCGGGTGGGGGGCGAAGGCGGCGCGGTGCAGCACGCTCAGGTTGCTGCCGGAGATGCTCAGGTTGTGCACCGAGGTGGGCAGCTCCCGGGGGGGTTCGTCCAAGCTCTCGTAGCGGCACTGCACCAATTCCGGGGTTGCCACGCAGTAGCAGGCGGACGGGCAGCCCCCTGGGGGGGCGGCGGCGGGGGGCACGGCCCAGGGCAGCAACGCGAGCCCCAACCAGGGTAACCCCAAGCAGGGCAGCCCCAAGCAGGGCAGCCCCTGCCGCGCCGCCCGCCGCGTCCTGCGGGCCATGCCCGGCGCTGGGGCATGCAGGGGCCGGGGGGGGGGGGGGGGGGGGGGGGGGGGGGGGGGGGGGGGGGCTGTCTGTCTGCCTGCTCCCCCCGCCCCGGGGTCCGCTGCTGCTGCTGCTGCGGAGTGCGCTGCCCCGAGAGCGGCGGCGTCTGGTGGAGGAGAGCGGGAGCGGAGCTGCCCAAATGGGGTGGGGGAGGGAGGGGAGGGGAGGAGGAGGGGGGGAAGAGGAGGAGGAGAGGAGGATAGATGGATGGATGGATGGAGGGATAGACGGATGGATGGAAAGGGGGGAAGGAGGAGGAGGAGGAAAGAGGAAAGGAGGATGGGGAGGTGAGAGAGGAGGAAAGGAGAAGGAGGAAGGCGCAGAAAGGAGGAGGAAAGTGAGGAAAGGAGAATGAGGAGGAGGATGGAGAGGGGAAAGGAGGAGGAAGAGGAAAAGGAGGGAGAAAGAGAGGGAGAAAAGAGGGAAAGGAGAATGAGGGTGAAGAGGAGGGTGGAGGAAGGAGGGGAAAAGTGAGGAAGGGAGGAGGAGAAAGAGAGGAGAAGGAAGAGGGGGAGAAGAGGGAAAAGGAGGAAGAAAAGAAAATAAGGAGGAGGTGGAGAGGAGGAAAAAGGAATAATGAGGAAGGTGGGGGGTGGCGGAGCGCAGCGGGCAGCCGCCGTCGGAGGTGCGCGGTGCCGCTGCTGCCCGGCTCGGCTCGGTTCGGCTCGGTTCGGCTCGGTTCGGCTCGGGGCTGCCCGGAGGGGCTGGCACGGATCCCTCCCGGCTCGGGGACGGCTGTGGGACTGTCCCGATTCCCTTCCAACCGCAGGAGGGATTGGGGCTGTCCCGTTCCTTTTCCAGCTCAGGGAGGATTTGGGGCTGTCCCGATCCCCATCACACCCCCGGAGGGGCCGTGGCTGCCCCCCACTCCCCACACCCATCTCCTCGCAGCATCCCTGAGCTGTGCAGGTCCCCGTGCACCCACTTTTTGGGGGGGCGACGCGGGGTGCAGCCTCCGATGGGCACGAAGGTCTTTGGGAGATGCCATCACTTTTGTTGGAGCAGTTTGGGCAAAGTCCAGCTGGCGTCGGGCTCCGTCATCTCCTCCCGGCTTTGTTCCCCTCGCTATGAAGCTCTACCCCCTGCTGCAAACCCCAGCCTGTGCAGACTGTCATTTTTCTCTCCAGTTTTGTGTTTGTTTGTTTGTTTGTTTGTTTGTTTTTCTTGCCTTTACCTCTCACCTTTTTCATTTTTTATTTTTATTTTTTTCTTCCCAAAGGATTTTTCCCCATTGGGATTCCTTCACCCTGAAGCTCTTCTGGATTCTGCAGGGGCATGTTTTGGATGCTGACATGATCTGATCCTGCTCCAGCTGCTCCTGGCCACCCTACATCAGGATGGACAAATCCTAGATTTAAAGTGACAGTGTCCAACAGCAGACAGAGGAAGCCAGGAACTCGTGGAAAAGTGCACTTGAAACCCTTTGACCATGTAGATGTAGTACTCAGGGACATGGTTCAGTGGGCAATATTGGTGTTAGGTGGGCAGTTGATCCTGATAATCCTAGAGGTGCTTCTAACCTTAATGATGATATGATTCTATTCTATGAAGACTTCTTGGCATTAAAGCAATGAGATCTGACCCCACTGATGTGGGGAGACAGCTCATAGAAAGGGCATTGTTCACCATGCCATGTGCCCACAGGAGGCCCCATATTCCCCCTCTTTTGCTGTCTCCTGCTGTTGCCAAATGAGGCTGAAGTCTCTCCTCTTCCCCCCCATGCTCCTCAGGTCTCCAAGTCTAGTCCTTAGTGTATCTTTATTGCCTTTTTCTCGTGGTTTGTTGGCAGTACTTTGGGTTGAGTTGGGTTGGGTTGGGTTGAGTTGGGTTGGGTTGAGTTGAGTTGGGTTGAGTGGGGTTGGGTTGAGTTGAGTTGAATTGAGTTGGTTTGAGTTGGGTTGGGTTGAGTTGAGTTGACTTGGGTTGGGTTGGGTTGAGCCAGCCTTAAACTGGCTGTTAGCAATTGAAATAGTGCCACCCTCTGTCCCCACTGCTGTGTAAAGTTGGAGGGGAAGTTCCAAACTCACAATGGGTGGTTTTAACCAAACTCACCTTCTGGCCTCTGCATCTCTCCTGGGCATGTTTTCAATGCTTCCTGCAAAAGCACAAAGGCAAACTTGCTTTTGGGTGGGGAAGCTCCTGCAGAGCCTCATTTTGATGGTTGGACTTGGTCTTCATGGATCTTCATGGTCTTTCCCAATCTTTATGATTCTGCAATTCTATGTTTTTGGGAACATGGATGCTGACAACCCCTCAGGGTGTTGCTCCCAGCCTGCGGCATTCCTGCTCACTGACCCGGGGAGCTGGGTGGAATTGGATGCATTATGTTAATTGGTGCATATTTTAAGATGGTTTCAAAGATTTGACATTTAAACACTACAGGCTTGCAAATACACCTGTGGGTGTGCTGGGGCATGATGGGGTTTGCAGGGCTGTGGAGATCACAGAATCACAGAATTGCCAGGGTTGGAAGGGACCTCAAAGATCATGAATCTCCAACCCCCCTGCCACACGCAGGGCCACCAACCATCCCACCTAATGCTAAGACCAGGCTGCCCAGGGCCCCATCCAACCTGGCCTTGAACACCTCCAGGGATGGGGCATCCACAACCTCTCTGGGCAGCCTGTTCCAGTACCTCACCACTCTCTCTGTAAAGAACTTCCCCCTGACATCCAAAAGATGGAGGAGAGAAGCAGCACTGACTTACCAAGCACACCCCAGAAAGTCAGAAAGTGGGGTTTTTTCTTCGGTCCTTTTTAGGGGATCTGGAAGGCACCAACATCACATTTCACACCAGCCAACAAAATCCCATTTCTTCCAATGCTTCGCTGTGTTGCACTGAGCTCAGGCTGTGGTTCAGTGGGTGTCAGGAGCAGGTGCTTTGGGAGCCTGCAGCCTGGGTTTGATGTGTGTCCATCAGCAAGCCAGCAGGAAAGAGACACCTTTGGAAATGCCACAAAGGCAGGAGGGAGAGGTGTTCCCTTTGCCTTTGTCCCGGCTACAAAGGCATCGAATCAGCAGCACTGGGCCTGTGTTGAACCACACAGTTTATCCAAAGGAGAGGGGATCTTTTCCCCAAATGTCTGCCAAGCACTGTGCATGCTGGTAATGCTCTATAAATACATTAGCAATAAATAATGAATAACCTGAACGGGCATTAAAACGTAAACAGGAGGTGAAGGGCTCTCTCCCATTACCGGTCCCCTGGGACCCACGCTGCCCTCTTTCCAACTCCTCCTTGATGCCGTTCCAACTGCAGAGCCCTTAGTCACAGCCGTGACAATATCATAGATCAGTGGCTCCATCGTTAAGAAAAGCAAGCCAAAAATAGTCCGCAGGGCACAGCCTTCCTCCCAACGGTGTGCTGAATTTCCTCACATCAGCATTTTTCCCCACTGACCCCTCCCAAGGAGTCGGAATCCTCTCCAGAGTGCCCTCCATTTCACGAGCTGTGTGATGCTGGGGAGGGGGGGGGGAGTTGTCCCCTACCAGGTGTAGGGACAATGGGAGCTGTCACATGTCACTCATCCCATGGGGTGGCCCCAGTGCTGCAGGGATGTGTGGGGACACTCTGTCCAGATCAATGGGGTTGAATGGGGCCACTCCCAGGTGGTCCCAGGACAAGATGGGGTGATCTAGGGAAAGAGATGGGATGGACTTATGGGTGCTGCGTGGGGTCATTCATTGGGGGTACTCCTTATTGTGAAGGTTACAGGATGATCACGGGTTGGGGTTGATCAGAGGTTCCCAGCCTTTGTCAGCATCACGGGCTTGCCCTGCTCCAAAAGGATTGGTGTGATCCCAAAGGAAAGCCACTCCCCTCACTACCAGCTGCAAATAATGAATCCCACATTGCAGAAAAGTTTTATTGACCTGAACATCAGAGCAGACTGGAGCCTTTCAATGCAGACTGTTGGAAGGCACTGGGGGATTTGCATGGGGTGCCTTTAATGGGAGCTGCATGCTGAGGCTGAGGGTTGGGTATCAGCAAACCCAACACAGCAACAGCAGCAATGGGGTGAGCATGAGGATTTTCATCTTGCAAAGAGGTGATCCTGCAGTCACACTGTTGGCTTTGCATCTCCCCACGCCATGCAGACCTCCAGCTTGTGGGAGAAGGCAATGGTACTGGAGAAGGGAATACCCAGGAGGGAGTCCCCTTCCCTTCCCTTCCCTTCCCTTCCCTTCCCTTCCCTTCCCTTCCCTTCCCTTCCCTTCCCTTCCCTTCCCTTCCCTTTCTCCCCTCCCCTTGTGCTCTCTTTGAGATTTTAAAATTAACATCAGTGTTATGGAAGTCACCCACAGAAAGGAATTATCCACCCAACAATCTCTGCCTGCAATGGGCAACAAGGAAAAGGCTGAGAGCTGCATTGGATCTCTTCTCACTGCAGGAATCCTCCCCAGAGCCTTTTGGGCCCCATTATCTTCTTGCACCTCTACAGAAAATATATTATTTTCTCGGAATCAAATCCATTTCCAGAGCTGAGTTTGGAAATCACATCCATGTCGTGCTCTGCAGGAGGGGGCGAATGGCATTGCTCAGTGCTGAGGTTTGCACCCAGGGAAGGCTGATGCACAGCTGCTTGCAGCATCCCAAATTATCAAGTGCAAGCCAAGGGAGTTGTGAAATCAAGGAGCAAGCAGCTGGCGGTCACTGCGGCTCCAACATGTGATTCTATGCAGTCAGCTGAGCTGCGACTACACCAAGCAAAAAAGAAAAAGCCATCAATTTTCCTTAGCCTGGGACTGGGGGGCTGAGATTACTCCTATTAGCACTGACAATTAATAACAGAGACATGACAAATTACATGCTCTCCTGCAACAGCGTGTGGCAGGTTGAGGATATTTAATTAAAGCTTGGATCTGCAGCTGCTGGGCACCCTGTGCATGGAGCTGGGAAAGCTCCTCTTGAAGATACGGTGAGGGATGATGGAGGGACCAAGCATCCCTGAGGAA